GCATGTCATTCTGCGGTGTGCTGCAAGTGTGGCCAATGGCACGCCCATGACCCAGGAGGAGGTGTCAGGGGAGTTGGGTTGTGCAGCGGATCATTGGGCGGGGGATCATTCCCGCTGCCAGCGCCCGGGAACGACTCCGCCCCGCTGTATTTCCGAGGGGTGGGGAGAGGAGAGTGCTATTTATGCCAAGGGGTCAGCAACACACAAGGCAGTGTCCGCGTGGTTCGAGAAAAGGCTAGGGCCAGCACAGGTGGCGCCTTTCATCCGAGGAGCGAACAGCTCACTCAATGAATCCTTTCATTCGTTGGTGTGCAAGTATGCTCCGAAGCGGTTGCGGTTTCGTGGTAGTATGGTGGCACGAGTTGCATTAGCAGTTTTGCACTGGAACAGTTGTGTGGATCGCCTTGTGAAGGGGTATCGCATACGGGTGAGGCGGGCAACACGGGTTCAACGGGGCTCGGCGGTTCGTATCTTGGGGCCCATGGATTGGTCTTGGGTAGAAGAGATCATGCAGCAGTGGTTGCGGGCAGGTGAGGAGGACCCTGAGGAGGCTGACGACGGGGTGGAGGAGGGCGGAGATGAGGCAGCCGGGGATAACTGTCTCACCGAGAACATCCGGGTGGTGCGCCCATGCACCGCTGCTGGACCAGCCGCCTCCGGTGACTCGACGCCTATGAGAGATCTCACGCTGCATTTCAACCCCGGCTGCATTGACTCCCCCGGATGCGGCAGTGGTATCACTGGGGTTGGCACCCCTACGCCCATCCGAAGAGATGCGCCAGCCCGACGAATCCTCATTGGTTGGTCGAGTGTACCTTTATCGTGTTCTGTTTGCCATGCATTTTGCCGCACCATCACACTTCCTCCCATCCACATCCGCACCTTTGCCACCATTGCGCCCAACCATTCGAGAGTCTAGGATTGTTCTCCAAACTGCTACAACTAAGGCACAATGCCCACTTCCACATGCCCCACCCCTCCCCGCTCCCATGCACAGGGATTGCCGAAGTCCGCTGAATGGTGCGATGCCAGCGGGTCACCGTTGCGCCACCATGGCTGATTCAACCCCTGCAGTGGTTGCCACCGGAAAGTAGTAGCCTTGCTACCAAATGCGCTTGCCTAGATGGAGGGCGGGGTGTAGCACAGACGGGAAAAGGAAAGGGCGGGACAACTGACGGGTGGAATGCCAAGTGGGGGGGTGGGAAAGCTGGGAGGAAGAAAGTTGAGAGAGGTTGAGCTAAGAGGGGGAGCGGAGTGGGGCAAAGATGGGAAAGGGAGAGCTGAGAGGAGGAAAGTAGAGAGGGGGTGAGCTGAGAGGGGGAGAGCGGAGAGGGGGAAAGCTGAGAGGGGGGAAGCTGAGAGGGGGGAAGCTGCGAGGGGGGGAGCTGAGAGTGGGAGAGCTGGACCTTGGCGTCACCACTACGTTCCGTGGTCACGAGCGGTACGCTGTCTGTACCGAGGCCGCCTCTAGTGCCCCTCTTACCACGTTCCCCCAGGACCCGGTGTCCGAACTGTTCACACTGGACACTGTGACCCCCCCGGCTAGGACCCCCCCTCAGGTGGTTGCGTCTACCCTGGTTCCTGCTGCTTGCTCCTGTCGGTCACTCACCGACCCGACTCTCCTGTGGCACCACCGTCTAGGTCACCCAGCGCTCCCGCGTCTGTGTCACATGTCACAGCACGGTCTCGTCCTAGGCCTCCCTGGGTCGTTCTCTGAGTTTCCCTCCTCCCCTGCCCCACCTTGCACGCCTTGTGTCGAGGGCCGGCTTCGCCCTGCTCCTCACTCCTCCTCGTTTCCCCCTACCGCCGCACCGCTACAGACTCTGCACATGGACGTATGGGGCCCCGCCCTCGTCCATGGGCCGCGTGGAGAGCGCTACTTCCAAGTGCTTGTCAACAACTACACGAGCTATACCACTGTGTTCCCCCTGGAGCGAAAGGCCGACTATGCCTGACATTCTTATCTCGTGGCTTGTCGCTGCGCATGTCTGTCACGGTCTCCCTATCTTGCGCCTCCACTCCGACCGTGGTGGCGAGTTTGCCTCTGGTGTCCTTGGTCGTTTCTGTCGTGCGGAGGGCATCACCCAGACGTTCACCTTGCCGGACTCCCCGCATCAGAATGGGGTCGCTGAGCGACGCATCGGTTTGGTCATGGAGGTGGCTCGCACCTCCATGATCCATGCCGGTGCACCCCATTTTCTGTGGCCGTTCGCCGTTCGCTACGCCGCTCACCAGCTTAACCAGTGGCCGCCTGTGTGGTCCAGCCAAACCCGCACTGCTGGTGTCTTCTCTGTCCCCTTTCCTGTGCAACCAGACTAGGACCGCTGGACTCCCCACCTACCTTTCTCTTGTGCAGCCAATCCAGGACTGGTAATGTGCAATCATCCGCCTGTTTGGTCCAGCCAAGACAGGACTGCTGTACTCCCCTCTAACCCCTTTCTTGTGCAGCCAAGCCTGGACTGCTGTACTCCCCTCTGTCCCCTTTCTTGAGCAGCCAAGCCAGGACTGATAATAGGCAATCAGCCGCCTGTGTGGTCCACCCAAACCCACTCTGCTTGTGTCTTCTCTGTCTGCTTTCCTGTGCAGCTAGACCAGGACTGCTGGACTCCCCACCTACCCCTCTCTTGTGCAGCCAGATAGTGTGAGAGGACGGGCATGTATACCGGATGCGTCGAGAGCAGCCAATGGTCGTGTGGATAAATGACCCGACAGTGGCTGAGGGGGTGTGGCACAGGCACCGTACCTCGGTGTTGAGGGGTCGTGCCGCTTGGCTGAGTGGTGGGCGAGTCCGCACGCCTAGCACCGCTTCTGTGCGTATACTGTGCCACGTCCCCACAGTATTGGTGGCTGTAGTTTTCTTCGCGTGCAGCTTTGTTCCAGCAGCAAACCTAGGCATCGTCATGGGCCGTCGTGACAGACCTTCCCAGTCCCACAAGCCCTCGGATGGCACGTGGGACACGCTCTCCTTTGCGCTGCTCGGGGTGTCTATTCCCGTGGTGGAAATACGAGCATGCTGACGTGCTGTATCAAACTTGACATTATTGAAGCTAGCTGACGACAGAACGCCGCGACCACTTTTGATGCTTAGTATCAGGTCGCATTGCTCGCCTCGTAGCTATTCGTGAGGTGTAGTGTATGTGTTTGTTCAGTGTCTGGGCTGTTTGACACAGCGTACCAGGCGAGTTTTGTTAAGGCTGCGTGCTGCACAGTCAGATGCATTGGGCGTGGCGCAGGTGCTGGCTGGAGACCCTAAACCAGCGGGGTGTTTTTCTGGTGGGTGGAGCAGGCGTTTATGTGCCACATGGCTTGGTGTCGCAGGCATGAATGGTGGTTTGCATTTTGAGTGGCAAGTTGGTTGGGCTTGTCGCATGATTCGTTGGGGCCCCCGCAGACCTCAGTGCTCGGTTTTGTTGGTTCATTTTGAGGTTGGGTTTGTGTGCGCGAAACAACCGGCCTTGTAAAGGTTCGCCAATCTCCCCGCCGTACTTCGCCCCTCGCTATCCAATCTGCATCAACCTGGCCAACTTCGAATGTTAAATGGTTGTAATTATGAGACCCTGGCTTTAATCGGAGTAATACAACAGCGAAGCTACTTGTCCGAATCGACCCATCGGATCGATGCAATGGGTGATGGGAGGCCCTAATTTCGGACCGCCTCAGCACTACTACCCTCACGATGACCCGCAGCCATCGGATTTCATCCCAAGCATCCGGCGGCTGAGCCGCGTTCCGCCCACGAGGACCATGCCCGCATGGTGACAGAATGACACGCTTCCGGAAACTTGCGTTTTCAATCCCCATTGTCACGTGCAGTTACCTGAATCTCACCGAGCGCGTTTCCGATTCCCGCTGTTAGTTTTTTTTTTCCGGTATTGTTTTATGGGGGATTTTTAGGCACATCGGGGTCAGGAGTAAAATTTTGTCGTGTAATCATGCGATACTCCTGCGGAAATGGCGAGAATGTTAATAAGTTTACAAGTTGTGGGACTCAGACCCATCCGACCGTGTAAACACAGGCTTGGGGTAGAAATACGAAATGAGGTGGGCACCTGACGCATTCTGATCGCCCCTACCAATATACCTCAACGCAAACTGATCTCTTCCTGCAAAGTGTTGCTGTACCGCAGTTGATGGCGTGGCAGCAGCTGATGTCTGTTCACTGCATCTCCTTGTGACTAGAGAAGGGGTTTTAGCTTGTGCAGTCAACTCAGTGGGGCAATTTATTGTGGATGCCGTCAGGCTGACATGGCGCGTTTCTATATGTTTGAAACTTACCGAGGTAGTCTAAACCCGTCATCCAGCTATACCGAACCCACCCCACGAAACGTACCTCCGCGAGTTTAGGGTCTACCCATCCCGAAACGGCATGCGGGCCCCTATGGGTTTTATTTTGTTTTGCCCCGGGCAGCCTGCTTGCTTGATTTGCTTACTTAAGCTAGCCCAAATATGTTTTGTTTCGCAGCAGGTTCGGATGACTAGTTTCATATTGCTGCCTGTTTTGTCTCCAAACCTCTAAAAGGGCACCAGGTCATCACTCACACGTGTTGATGGCAAAAGAGAGAAATTTCCCTACTGATTTGACTGCAGAAGCTAAGACCCCACTAGAGAATCGAGGCTCTGCAGTTGGCACACGTGGCGAGGTGATTGGAGAGGGGAGGACACGTTGCATCGCATTGCCGCATAAATACGGAATGAGGTGGGCACCTGACGTATTCTGATGGCCGTGCCAATATATCTGACGTGAACTGATCTCTTCCCGATGCCAAGCACGAGGAGAGAAACCAAATCTGGAAGGACGGCGCTGCGAAGCATGACGTCTCGTAAAGCATGGCACAGGTATGCGCGTCATACAGTTGGGAATTGGCGTTGGCGCATCATAGCATGGAGCGTCTAGAATGGCACGCCACAGGATGGCCCATCAAAGTGTGGCGCTAACCGCATCTGCGGAGCATGCCGAGCTGCGTTCCCCGACCCGAGCTTTGATTGCTGGCGAATGTCGTTTCGTCTGCAAGCGAATTCAATGAATCATGCTCGAAGCATCTTGTAACAATATGGCGTCGCAAGGCGTAACGTCGCTAAATGTGGCGTCGCTAAGCGTGGCGTTGAAACGTGTGTCGCTATAGCTTTGGCGCGTTGCGCGGAAGTCATCGCCCGACACGAGGCATGCCTGCACGGCCGTCGATGACTGAACGTGCCTCAGCCTCCGAACGTGAACTCTCACACTGGGCTGGATCTCAGCGGGGCTGGCTTTCAGCGGGGATGCTCTCAGTGGAGATGCTCTCCGCGGGGATGCTCTTAGCAAGGATGCTCTCAGCGGGGATGCACATTGGCTGGCTCTTTCGGCAGCCGGGAGCACAGTTAGAGCGAGCAGGCAAACATCCTGGTCGCCTGGTGGCTACAAACCCCAGCTGCGCCGTGCTTACCACCTGCCATCGTCTCCCATCCGTTTTCAGCGGAGTCGACAGCCCTGCGTTTCCTAGTAACTGCCGCTGCCTGCCTATAAAGCGCCGCGCCGGCATGCATTTCACCTGCCGCCATTCCGAGGACGGCAGCCATTTGCCTTGTCCCCACTAACTGCAAAATTGTGTCGTTCGTTCGAAGTGAGGGATGGCGGCTAGCCAGGAGGGGAGCCGACTTCCTATCACCACTGGGATGGAGCGGAGTGCGACGCAGCAAGGAGGCGCCAACGAGGCAAACCACTCCGTGTGCGGAAACGGATACGCGTCAATGCCAGTGGATTCGCTCATTCTTGCCATCCATGTGCATGGCATCGCACCAGATCAGCATGACCTCTCACCAGATCAGCATAACCTCTCACCAGATCAGCATGACCTCTCACCAGATCAGCCTGGCCTCTCACCAGATCAGCATGACCTCTCACCAGATCAGCATGACCTCTCACCAGATCAGCATGACCACTCACCAGATCAGCATGACCTCTCACCAGATCAGCATGACCTCTCACCAGATCAGCATGATGGTTCACCAGATCAGCATGACCTCTCACCAGATCAGCATGGCCTCTCACCAGATCAGCATGACCTCTCACCAGATCAGCATGACCTCTCACCAGATCAGTATGACTTCTCACCTTCTTATGAAGGTCGGGCGTCAGGTGGAAGCCGCAGCAGGAATGTGTGTTCACCAGCCTGACGCAGCAACTCCAGCGGCTCGTCTCACGCGCCGCATCTGTGGGTCTACGTGTGAGGAGCAGCACAGGGAAATAGCAGCGTGCCTGCTGGAGGTGAACGCTATGGGTGACTGGTTGGACTGCGACGAGTGTCGGCCTCTTGCGTTTGGCTTCCACGTCGTCCGCAGCATGCCAAGGGAGGCTGAGTCCCAGGCCCTACGCAGTGAGCACATGAATCCGGGGTCAGGCACTTGAATCATGGTTGGGGGATTAGTGGAGAGGTCTGGGAGGGAGCTGGCGATGAGATGAGCTAGGGATTGGGTGGGGAACGTGGCTTTGTCTTGGGCGCTCCTCACAATAGTGAGTTGAGAGAAGGGCTGGCTCTCAGGGCTGGCTCTCAGGGACGCAAGCAATGGGGCTGTTGGTCTTGGCTGCGATGGCAGCGACGGGGCTTGCCATCTGCAGCAAGATCAGGCCTGTTTTTCTTAGCTGTTGCTGTCTGTCCGCCTCCCCTTGCCACACAGATACGTTCTTTCTCATGGAGCACTGCAGCACCAGCCAGTGCGTGCCGCGCAATCCGTGGAGGGGCTTCACTGGCCCCATGGGCTCCTCGCACGTGGATGTGGTCATTGATGTGCCACTCCACGTGAGGTCGCTGGTGCCCGCACTGGGCTGCCACGTTCAGGCAACGCTGGAGGTCGCTTCCAGTGGCATGGACTTGACAGATGGTGGCAGTGGCTCCAAAGACACAGCTCCTCTGCTTCCACATTCCCTTTCTCACAAGGTCCACCAAACCCCCACTTCATAGAATACCATGATTAAACTTTTTGCGTTGCACCCTCACTCAACTGCTGCTCCGTCCCAGCCCTTTCAGAATGATGCATTGTGGATGTTTCACCTCGCTTGTTCCACCACCCTTTCCTCTCAAACTCTTCTGTTGCCCCTCCTCTCCCCTCTCACCCTCGTTGCACCGCCCCACCCAGCAGAGAGCACGCACTGAGCAGCACCCCAGTCAGATCCATGCAGGGCAGGTTGGTGTGTGGGCTGGGAATTGTAATGGTAAGAGGGGGTTCTATCTTGTGTGAATACCAGTTGCGAATCTATGACCAGCTGTAACCAGCTGCTACCAGTTGTGTATCCCTTTCTTCTGTAACCAGCTATTGCTTTAGTGCTACTTTGGTCTGTTTCCTCTCTGCCTGCCCCTTTCCATTCTACTTCCACCTTGCAACCCTTTCCGCTTCTCTTCATATGCCCCATTCTCTGTGTTTCGTTCCACCCCGCCCGACCTGTCTATCTGTGCTGCGCGCAGCCAGGGCGCGGAGGTACTTTCTGCTCTCAGACCAGCCCCTCACTTGCTCCTCACAGCAGCTCATACCATCCTATGGAACATCGTCTCATTCCCCATAGCCAGTATCAGTACCACTAGGGCCGGTTCCGCCAGGGACGGTGTTGCCCTTGCCACAAGGCACGGCAGAGCCCGCGTCACCATTGTCACCCTCCTCTTTAGCTGCAGACAAGGGCCCAGCAGCGCCATACACCCGCCTCTTCCACCCACTCTCTCTTGTCCGCATCTCCTCCACCTGCCTATCCAAATCCCTATCCCACGCCCCTGCCTCTCCCCCTTCCCCTAGCACTATGTGCATCTGTGCCCTTCTTCCTGTCCCTGCCAATACTCACAGGCTGTACCAGTTGGGGGGGTCCGTCGTGGGGCTGAAGCGGAGACGGAAGAGGTCGTCAAGGCGGCAGAAGCAGTGGGCGGCGGTGTGCCCGGGACGGTCGCAGACGGTTCCGCGGCGGGGGCCGGACTGAAGCTGGTACTGGCAGGTGACCACACTGGAGCCGCCACCCCACACCGAGCTGTAGGGCTCACTACCACGACCACCACCACCAGTGCCGCCAGGCCACCACGGCGGTGGAGGTCCCTACGGCGACTGCTGCTGCTACTGCGACTGCTACTGCGGAGGCTTTTGCTTCTGCTGCTGCTGCTGTTGCTGCTCCTGGGCTCCAGCCCGGGTCCCCTCATCTACACCACCGTCCCCACTCCCACCTCCACCACCTCCACCACCCCCACCACCCTTCCCTTCGCCACGCCCCCCGTCGGGGCGGTGGCCCTTACCCTGACGCTGCTACATTGAGGCCGCAGCGGCAGTCTCAGCAACAGGGGCTGTCTCAACAACAGCGGCAGAAACGTCAGAGTAAGTGCACTAGGAGGGAGCAAAGCCCTGGAAGATAGGGATCCGCGCGGTACCGCTAGACTGAGCGATAGTGCACCAGCGGTCTCTATCGCGGATAGGGCGGTGCAGTAAGGGTGAGATTACCTGGGTGCTGGCTAAGGAAGTGGTCGCGGGCAGTGGCTAGGCGGTTAGGGAGGCGCGTGGCAATGAGTTAAAGGGTAGCGCAAAGCGGTGGCGGGAAGGTAGTCAGTTGTGTCTCAGTGTTAGCGGTGTGGTAGCTAGTCTCCAGCGTGCAGGGGTGCGTGGCAAGGTCAACGGCAGTGGGGAAGGACGCAAGGTCAAGGAACAGCATGGGGAGGATCAGGCGGCTGGCAGAGGCTGAGGCGGGGGTGGAATGGCGCGCGACGACGGCATCTAAGTATTCCTTGGCAAAGCGGTAAAGCGAGAACGCTCAAACAAGGGGAGGGCGTGGCTAATGGCAAGCTGAGCAACAGCGTCGCGTGAATCCCAGACACTGCAGGCAAGCTCGGCAACGACAAAAGCCTCACGCTCAGCAGATGTGGGGGCGCCAGGGAGGGCAGCAGGTGGGGGGGGGCGAGGGAGCTTACCGTCGACATGGACGGCCAAGGGGTGGCCGTTCTGGCGCTGACCGGTCAGCTGGCAGCGGGGGTCGACGAGCCACGCCTCAAACTCAACGGCCCAACCTTCCCCGTCTAGGCGGAGCAGTGAGTCCGCCATCACCACGGCTGCAGCAGCTGACTGCCGCTGACAAGGGGAGGAGGGAAAGCGGGGGAGGGCAGTGGAGAGCGGTGGAGACAGTGGAGAGCGGCGGAGTACGGTGAACTGCAGTGGAATGCATTGGAGTGCAGTGTAGAGCGGTGGATTGCGGTGGAGAGTGGTGGAGTGCGGTGGAGAGCTGTGGAGACGGCCGGCGGGAGCGCCGGCTCAGAGGGGAATCCAAGGCCGGCGGTCCAGCTCTTCTCGGTGGTGTGGGGGCGGTGGCTGGTGGCTACAGATGGCTGGCGGCGACGGGCAGGCAGTTACAGGCAGGCCAGCGGCTACGGGCGGGCTGGCGGCAACGGGCGGCCAGCAGCGACGGGCGGCCAGCGGCCACTGACGGCTGGTGGCATCGGGTGGCCGGCGGCTATGGGCGGCTGGCGGCAGCGGGCGGCCAGCGGCGACGGGCGGGCTAGCGGCGACGGGCGGCCAGTGGCGACGGGCGGCCAGCGGCTACAGGCGGCTGGCAGCTACGAGCGGCCAGCAGGGACAGGCCGCCAGCGGCTATGAGCGGCGACAGGCGACCAACGGGCTACGAGCAGCTGGCTGCTACGGGCGATCAGCGGACTGGCGGCTACGGACGGCTGGCGGCTACGAGCGGCCAGCGGCGACAGGCGGCCAGCAGCTACAGGAGGCTGGCGGCTACGGGCGACGGGCGGCTAGATACGGGCGGCTAGCGACGGGCGGCTCGGGCTAGGGCTAGGACTAGGGCGGAAGCGTGGGTGGGCGGGATTCTAACCTAGCATGATACCATCTTCGAGTAGCATGATTGACTAGAATGATGAGGTACAAGAGAGTATAACCTAAGGTGTTGTACTCTCTATGAGCATGCACCTATCTGGCCAAAAACATATACAAAATATGTGTTGACAATCTGAACATGTTCTGTAGTTTTAAGGGTTTTTAGATGCTCAACCCTGCGCAGCAAGATTCATGTCTTAAGAATAGCGAAACGCAATGGCCTTGAATAGTTAATGGAAAGCACAGCTGCGCCTAGCGTAGCACTTGCACGGCCTTGGTCTCACTTGGTCGCAATTCCATGCACACACATCTACACCCAGCCGTGCACTACTCATTTAATCTGAGAATCTTGTACGCATCAATATTCTAAGCTAGCGGCGCATGCTCGACGTTACGCCCAGTGCCGTTTGCATGAGCCAGTCAGGCAGGAGCGCCCCCCTGTCGGTCCGTGGTCTCATCACCTCTGCAGGCGCTACCCCCTGCGGCGCCAGCCACCTCACCGCCCCCAACTGCTGCCCCTTGATGGCATAGTGCAGCAGGGTCCTTGGGAGGGGATAAGGCAGGGGAGAAAGGGGGAGGGTGGCCTTTGAGTTGACGCAAGAGCCACCTCATAGTGTACCAGAGCTGCTGGTTGATGCGTCGTGTAGAAAAATCAGTGCAACAGATTTACATAAAGACCAAAGGAGGGGGCGACGAAGGGAGCGGAGCGGAGAAACACATGAATGCGAGCGAAGGGAAGCAAGAATGGAGGCACAGGATGCCATGGCAATGGAAAGGGACACGAGAGGGCGCTCCAAGAGGCATTGGCATGACACTGCCAAAACCTTCCTCTGAAATTTTCACAACCTCCGACTATGAACCAAGGGCGTGCCAACACTCACGAGAAAGCCAGATATGACGAGCGACGGAAGGCCAAACTTCAAAATGTGATTGCGAAGAGCAGACACGTATCATTCCCACGCCCATGCGCAAGAGGGTGTGGAGCCGTTGTCGAAGCTGCGCACTGCAGCCCACGCGCCCATGCGCAAGAGGGCGTAGAGCCGTTGTCGAAGCTGCGCACTGCAGCCCCCACGCCCATGCGCAAGAGGGCATGGAGCCGTTGTTGAAGGTGCGCACTGCAGCCCCCGCGCCCATGCGCAAAAGGTCGTGGAGCCGTTGTCGAAGGTGCGCACTGCAGCCCCCGCACCCATGCGAAAGAGGGCGTGGAGCCGTTGTCGAAGCTGCACACTGCAGCCCCCGCTGCGCACTGCAGCCCCCACGCCCATGTGCAAGAGGGCGTTCAGCTGCTGACACGTGGAAGGGGGACAAGTGGAGATCATGGGAGGTGGTTAGTGACACACGCATAGAGTGCGGAAGGATCAGGGACGGCGCAGTAAAGCAATGAAGAAGTGAAACGGGGAAAGGAGAGAAAGGGAGACGGACACAAAGGTATACCTCCTGTTGTGACACAAGAGTGAGGGTATATCTCACCACAAGTACGTCTCCATTCCAAGCAGCAATGTGCATGACAGTCTTCCCCCTGTCGTCCACAATTGCACTGAGCTGCCCTAGATGAGCCACGCCCCATCTCTGCAGCCGGCACATGAGGCCCTGCCCATCCTCACGTGCCACCAAGCGCGCCTGCTCCACGTGGGCCCTCTCCTTCACGTACAGCCGCTTGGCGTCCAGCAGAGGAAAGGAGTGGGGGGGAGGCGGAGGGGCACGAGGGAGTGCGGTGGCAGAAGCAGACGGAGAGGTGCATGTGGGTGTGATGGCAGGAGGAGCAGGAGGGGTGTGAGCGTGTGAAATGAGGAGGGGCAGCAGGAGGGGAGTTAACGTGTGTAGTGGCAGGGGCAGCAGGAGACACATGGATGTCTCGAATGGGAGGGGCAGCAGGGAGGGCTTCACGCGTGCAGTAGCAGCAACAGCGACAGCGGTGAGGCCAGCAGCAGGGGCAGGGGTAGCAGCACAGGCGTGAGCATGAGTGGTGACAGGAGCAGCAGGGGAGGAGAGAGGGGGTGTAGTCTCAATGGCAGAATGAGGGGCGTGAATGGGTGTATTGGTAGGGGCAGTGGGAGAGGCATAGGTGTGTGCACTGGCAGGGGCAGTAGGAGAAGCATGTGTAGAAATAGTGCGAATCATAGCGGGGAAGGAAGTAGCCCATTGTTTGCGTCGACGTGTGCCAGTTTTTGAGATGGACATGGATCAGATTAGGTCTGCTTTGTATGCCATGTATGTTGATGAGTCTAGTGTGACTGGACCCTTTTATCCGGTATTGTCTAGCGTACGTGTGTTCACTGTGTGTAGTCTAGGTTCCCCTGCTGCGTCAAGCATATGACCTCCTACCTTGTTTAGCCTACGCTAAATGCTAGCCCCTCCGTCAGCCGACACTACTGCTTCGCTCTTTTTTATGCTAGACTCTGGAGCATATGCTTTCTACTTCCGCGACCACACTGCGCTCACGCTGCTTGCTGCCCCTGCCGTTGTAGCGCTTGCTGACCCCTCCTCAAGTCCGGTAGTTGCACGTAGCTCCACTACCCTTCCTTGTCCGGCAGTTCCCTCGGGCTCTCTTACAGGCTTGCACATCCCCTCGTTCTCCAGGAACCTAGTTGGTGTCCGCTCTCTTCAAGACCTCGGTGTCACCACTACATTCCCTGGGCACGAGCGGTACGCCTCTGTACCCAGGCCGCCACTGGTGCCCCTCTCACCACGGAACCCCGTGTCTAGCCTGTTCACGCTGGACACTGCGTCTCCCCCGGTCGGAGCGTCCTCTCAAGTCGCCGCATCCTCCCAGGATGCACTAGCTTGCTCGTGCTGGTCGCTCACCCACCTGTTGCTGCTGTGGCACCACCGCCTAGGTCACCCCGCACTCCCGCGTCTGCGTTACATGTCTCATCACGGTCTTGTCTTCGGTCTCCCTGCATTGCTCCCTTCCCTACCTCCCTCGTATGTGCCGCCGTGCACGCCTTACGTCGAGGGCCGGCTGCGCCGTACTCCTCACTCCTCCTCGCTCCCCTTTATTATTGCTCCACTCCAGACCTTGCACGTAGATGTTTGGGGCCTAGCCCCTGTCCCTGGGCCGCATCGAGAGAGCTACTTTCAAGTGCTTGTGAATGACTACACGCGCTACACCACGGTGTTTCCCCTGGAGCGGAAGGCCGACATGCCTGACATTCTTATCCCGTGGGTCGTTTTGCGTGAGTCCAATGCGGCTTCCCAGTGCTGCGTCTCTACTCCGACCGTGGCGGCGAGTTCGCCTCCGGTCGGCTTGGCCAGTTCTGTCGTGCAGAGGGCATCACCTAGTTGTACACCGTGCCGGACTCCCTGCAGCAGAATGGGGTCACTGAGCGACGCATCGATTTGGTCATGGAGGTGGCTCGTACCTCTATAATCCATGCCAGTGCACCCTCTTTTCTGTAGCCGTTTACTGTTCGCTATGCCACTTAAGAGCTTAACCTGTGGCCGCATTCCCAGCGGCCGCAGATTTCGCTGACCCTTCTCTGGACCGTGTTCCCTAGTGACGCGTCTGCGTTCCACGTCTAGGCCTGCCTTGTTCACGTTCGTGTCTTTGACACGGACAAGCTCACTGCCTGCACAATCCCTTGTGTCTTCCTTGGTTTCCCTCTTGACGCTTCTGACTGGCACTTCTACCACCCGCTGTCTCACCGTTTCTTTCACTCGCGTGACGTCACTTTTAACGAGTCAGTCTCCTTGTACACCCACTATCCCCACCGAGGTCTCTTGGTTGCCCCAACACAGTTCTTGGTACTCACTATCCTGGTAGCTTATGCTTCTCTTCTTGCTTGTCCCGCCCCATCTGGTGTGTCTCACGTAACTCCCCTCCCATCGGTTGTTTTGGTGGAAGAGCTGGCTGACTCCGGGGGCCCCGCGGCTTCGACCTCCCCGCCTGTCTCCGCTGCCGTGTCTCCTCCTCCTCCTCCTCCTCCGCCGCCGCAGCAGCCGCCGTCGCCGCCGCAGGCGCAGCAGCAGTCGTCGTCGTCGCAGGCGCAACCGCAGCAGCCGTCTGCGAGCTTGGGGGATGCGGGCGGTGAGGAGGGTGCTAGTCCTGGGGGTACTCTCGTGGCTTGTCCAGACGGTCCTGGGGGTGGCACTGATGTTGGAGAGGGTTTTCGTTCTAGGGGTGCTATCGTGGGGCGTCCCGGAGGTAGCTGTAGTGCAGCTGGAGGTTCTGGTGTTGGTGTGGAGCAGCAGCAGCAGTCGCCGATGGTGCCCGCCCTTTGCCTCCTCGGTATTCCCTCCCCTGACCACCTGCCTTCGTCTTCCCCACCTGTCTACGACCCTGTGTTTCCTCCGCCGGACTCGTCTCCGGCTCGTTTTCCCCCGCGTTCTCCTCCTGTGTCTCCTACTGTGTCTCCTGACCTCGCGCCTCCGTCCCATTTCTAGTCTCGCCGTCCCTCTCGTGCTTGTCCGATCTCTCCTCTCTAGCGCTCTCACTCTATGTTGCTTCGTTCCGTCGCGTCTTGTCCTCCTTTCGTCCCGTCGTCTCCTCCATCCTCGCTGGTTGTCGCTCCGCCTCCCTTGTCTTACTTCCTCCATGCCTCTAGTCCTCTTGTTCCTCGGGTCCTCGCCTCTCTTGTTACCGACCCATCTACTCCTGTCTCTTGTCTTGACGCTCTTGTCGATGCCGTCACTGACTTTGCCTCTACCCGCCGCCTTGACTACGCCACCGCTCTCATCTCTGACCCTACCCATTCTCTGTCCGTCGGGGATGCACATAAAGTGGCGTCTTAGAGGACAGGCAGTACGAGCTAGCTTTTCTGTCTGAGGCCGCTCCTCATCTCTGCTCCATGCTACTACACCCTGAGGGAGATCCAAACGCTCTTGACATCCGGACCCAGAAAATATTGACATCCCGACTGCTCGCACCTACGCTGACGCAACTTCGGGACCCTGGGCCTCTCATAGGATAGCTGCCATGGACACAGAG